TCTGTGCATTCCACAAGTGTAACACAATCGTTTGATTTTAACCTATTCAATTTACTCTCTTAATTTAACCAAACACATCTTTGCTAAGTGACGTCAGACTATATGAATCGGGCGGCGGAAGACCACCACATTCAGATACCCGTTGTGCACAAGAATCACATTTTTCATTAGTATCACCCATGGAGATAGTGTCTCTTCCATTGAACAATATTATTAAATCATTGAGCATTATAGATTGTACGATTTACTTATACTCATGAACCGCATTCGAGTATCATTTTTGAAATATAACATGTTTTTCCGTTTATATTAATATTATTTATGGCTGAACTTGGACATCCATATCTGAGTACACAAGTCCTTAAGTATTTCTTTATCGAAGCCGATATATTATGTTTAAGTTACGAATGTCATGTTTTGTAATGTAAACGATAAATACAAGTTAATTTTACAACTTATTTCTTTGGAAATCGTATTTGTTTAAAATATTATATTTGTATATTAATAAACTATTTAACTATGTTAACTAATATTCCATAAATAATCAATTTAAAAAAGTTGTTAATAGAAAAAAAAACGTTTAATCGATAAAAATTAGGATTCCTCAATGCCTTCAATATCGTCGAATTTTTTAAGATATCCACTAACCTATTAATATCTCCGTGATATATCGTAAAAATAATGAATTTTACCACTTCTGGCAATTCATTTTTAATTAGATGAAATGTGCATAGTATAGTATTAGAGCAATAACAATTACGTGATAATCCATACGAAATTTTTCGTAATATTATGAAATGTTGAGTAGAGACCAAAGAAAATTGTAAATTTATTAATATAAAGTTTTATTTTTAAAACAAAGATAAAGGCACTTTATTATTTTAATAATTGTTGTTATTGCAACTCTCAAAAAAAATTTTGATTTATAGTATCTGTTTTTACATGAAACAAAACGAATCTTACTGCAAATTTGCACAATTGCAATGAGGCTCAAATCACTTGCTCTCTTTATCATTAAAAAATTATTTCACTTGTCAAAAGTTAAAATAAAACAAAAATTGTAATTACTCATGGAATCAACCCAAAGTCTATAAACTTTATTATCAAATATGTATGATAGTTTAACTTATTCATCTAAGTTAAATGGTTTGTAGGATTTTTTGTAGAAAGCATTTTTTTTGTATAATGTTACTAATTAGATTATGTGACTTAGATGGCAGACATTTAACGATCTAATCTTAGTTATAAATTNGAAAAAATACTAATTAGATTATGTGACTTAGATGGCAGACATTTAACGATCTAATCTTAGTTATAAATTTTAAAATATTTCTAATGTATGTCTTATCATGGAATTTTAGAGTATAAGAAACAATATAATTTAGGTCTTATATGACATTTTTAAGTGCAGAAAGTCTTAAAAATAAAGGGTGTTGTAAGCTGTTAAAGTTGCAGAATTTCATACTTCAAATAATATCTTAAATAACATAAAGTCAATACAACAGAACTAGGATAGAAAACAAAATATGTGCTATTGTGAGTGAAAATGCACTCAATATTACTAGAGTCATTAAAAATTAAGAAAAGACAATTAATATGATATTTAGCATATAATATACAGCTTCTGATAATGCAGGACATTAAATACTTCAACTAAAGTCTTAATAACTAAAATAAAGACCTTTTTGTTACATTTTTATAGTATTTTATCACTTTCGATGGCAAAATTTAAGAAGCCAAATAATTTAGTATTTTTTTAATTATCAAAACTTAAAAAAACATAAAAATACTCAAAATTTAAAAAGCCTTAGAAATGCTTAAAATTTAAATAATCCATAAAAATAACAAAATTTAAGAAGCCATAGAAATTCTTAATATTTAAAGAACCCATAGAAATACTAAAATTTAAGAAGCCATAGAAATGCTTAACATTTATAGAAGCCATAGAAATTCTTAATATTTAAAGAAGCCATAGAAATTCTTAATATTTAAAGAAGCCATTGAAATACTAAAATTTAAGAAGCCACAAAAATGCTTAACATTTAAAGAAGCCATAGAAATTCTTAATATTTAAAGAAGCCATAGAAATACTAAAATTTAAGAAGCCATAGATTTTAGAACAATAATGTGAATATTTTATGTTTGAATATGCTTAAATTTTTAAATTAAAATGATAAAATATGCATTCCTAATTTTAAGAAACTTCAAATAAATTATTGCTAAACTGACGTCAAGACTTGTTATTAGTCGATTTTTATTGATTACTATAAGTAGAAAGTCAACATTTTTAAAGTTAAAGAGAATACTAGTGCTATAATTTAATAAAAAAATTTTATTAAGTTTTTCAACATTTATTGTTTTCACTTTTATTTAGAAAATTATTATTCAAATAATGCTGTGCCAGTTAATTATACATCGTGATTATATATTTTATTTAATTATAAATTCAAACACTAAATATTATTTATACTGAAATATATACATATATATATATAAGAATGATTTAATTATGATTATTTTCTGTAAATAAATTAAAATGTTTAAATTGAAAACTGCTTTCCTGGTATTGCGCTTTGGGTACTAAATATATTTTTTTAACTCGAATAAATGTAATGTGTTGGTAGCCGGTAGGTATTTTATATATATTTTTTATTATTAGTATAAAAATATTATGATGTAATATACTGCAATGGAATTATGATTTTTTAAATTAAATTTTACTTTACGAGAGACGAGTGAAATTTATGTAAACGAATAATGAAGAAAAACAACTATGTTTTTTTTAAAATTAATTCATACAGTTTTCTAAGTAAATTTTAATGACAGTTTTTTTCTATAACAACTACAATAATAACTGATGTTGTCGATACTTTTAAATAAACGTTTAACTACTTGTATTATTATCTTAAATGTCAAGACTATGGTTTTTTTACCATTTCAATTATTTATTTATTTATGATGAATATTGGTTTTTGAACAATTAGTGTATATCTACACAATATTAAATGCTCCTTTTAAATGTTGGTATTATTTATTGTAAAAATATACTTTTAATATAAACGTTTTTGTGAAGATAAACTCAAAAGTATCGCAATGGTACGTTTCGATAATGATATAGGTTCGTTAAATCATGGAATACTGGTGAAGGGTTTATTTATAACCTAAGTAAATATCACTTCTTATTATCGTTTTTATATTTTAAATAATGTAATTTTATTTTATTACGCGAACGTAATATAAAAAATGTACAGCTAGATTAGAAAAAAATCAATAATTTGTCGGTAAGTTTTAATTATTTTTCAACAGTGCATCGATGCATTGGGTCCAATCGTTGCATTTTTTGTTCATCACGCCTTCTGATTTGATTTTCTATTGCGTCTTTTGGAATCCATCCAAAAGTTAAACTGCCAGTATTTGCCAAAACCCGTTACTCGATTATGTTTTCCCCTCCATTAACGTCGGACACTTTTCAATTATTTCGGCTCAATAAAACACTGAATAGTGTAAATAAAAAAAAAAAATAAGAAAAACATTTCTGATCGATTGCTTACTTGTGATTCTGGAATATACTTCGATCGTGATACAGATAGTGAGTATGGCCACTTGTTTTTCGCAAGATAACCAGTGTATTGCGGTGTGGTTAATGAGTTTACCTGTATTGATATAAATGTCTTTAGTGTGCTATATTGCGATAACGATATTTTAAATTTATTACGCCATAATTCAATATAAACGACTTTACTCGCATGTTATTTTTTTTATTTGTTATTTTTCTTGTGGAAAATGAATTCATCTTAACCGAGGGAGAATTTAACAACAAGCAAAATTCTAAGTGCGTAAATATACACTGGAAGGCGTTAAGTATAATCTTTTAAAGTTTATACAGTTGTTAGAATCTCTAAGCATGAAATTTAACAGATTTTTTTATAAAAAATATATACTCAAGAATATATCTTGTTATTCATAAATAAATAAATTTATTAAAAATGTTTTGTTAACCTCGAAAACTACTCATGGGATTTAGTTTTTATTGCAGTTGTCATCGATGACTCTANTGATAAATTTATTAAAAATGTTTTGTTAACCTCGAAAACTACTCATGGGATTTAGTTTTTATTGCAGTTGTCATCGATGACTCTAATTCGTTGACTAATACATTTTCTCGGTATTATCACATGAAAATGTATTTATAACGATCTAATCAGTGGACAATTATTGTAAATACTGAAAATAAAAATGTCAACAAAGGTGTTTGATTATGAGAAAAGAAATAAGAATGCTCTTGTAAAAAAATGAAAGTAAAAAAATGAATTATAAAATCGCGATAAATAAAAATGGACATCGTTATTGGATTTTAACAAGATATTCTTTTACAAAGTAGGTAATGCAACGTAAAGTGCTTTTAAAACGACCTATTTGGTAATTAAAATAAGTAAATAAACTGAAAAGTTCAACATTTATGCTTTGCAATATGTTAGTTACAAATGATAGTATATTAAAGTGTTATGTAAAATGTTTATGTCTACTTGTTTAATTTTCCATAAACGGTATTCACACTCAAAGATACGGGTGTTGTGAATACTGTGAAGCTTTAGCATAAAACTCGAATTGCATAAACCCTACATTTTAGTAGTTAATATGCTTAATCCATAATAGTTTATGTGCATGGAGGTCGTCGATTGTATTCCATCAGGCGTATTAAAAAAAAATCAAATAAGAATTCATACAAAATGCAATTTTCGCGATTACTACAAATATGAACGCGCGATTGCTAGTGTTAAAAAATAATGATAGTTAAACCGTGAATTGCTATTCTGAGCGGCTTTATTTATTTATTAAATGTTTACATATCTAATAATAAATGAATAGTGTGATTATTAGCTACGTAGGCCTACGTCTACTTCTCAGCACCGTTGGAGTGTTTCTGCGGGTAAGGAGACTGAGGACAGAGTAAGCGTTCTTGTTCAGGCAACAAGGCGAACGTCGGCGAGGGCCACGAACGTGTGTGCGGTACACTGACAACGACGGCGGTTTAATTTCTTGTGCAGTCACCATTTAGACATTACCGCGCGTGTACACTTCTCCATATCCGCACGTTCATCGCACAATTTATTTCATATCTCCTCATTTATTTTAACTCGTTGTAATTATTGTACGACATTTATCTGCCGATAGTATCAATCAATCAGTCATCGAAGAACTTGAGGATTTTAATTACACAGGTAAGAAACTGATTTTCTAGTCTATTTCAGTTAAGTTCTTTTCTTTTGAAAAAATTTTATTCACAAATAATACAAAAAATGTCTGTATTATTAAGTCACTTGAAATATAAGGACTATAAATAATTGGTTTTTTTTTTTTTAATATCGAGCAAAGTTTGTTGGGTCGATTTAAATTTATTCGGTTTTTCTGACAATTGATTTTTTTTTAGAAATTTTTCTTCACGAAAGAAAAATCGTGAAAAACGCACAATATAATAATTTGTAGTTCTATAATCTCGGAATTAAAAATATTGCTATAAAACACACCAATTTTGCTCGAATAAATTGATCAAATATTTATTTAAGGATATTGTTTCTATTTTTCGTCTGAGACCCACGCGGGTTACCGACACCTTGATGATCGCGGAGTAATGCACTCGGAGACTTGAACGGTCGGCATGACCGTAGTAAATGTTTTTCTTGAAAGGTTATTAATACTCCGATGTATTAAAAAAACAGCAATTTAGTTTTAAAAGCATCATTATATATTCCCTTAATGCGATTGTAAAGATCTGCGTATATGGCTTACGATTTTTTTTTTTTTGTTTATTATTATTATGATATTCAAACGGCGTAGGTTTTCAGTAACGTTTTTGTTAACGTGGGATGAAAACCGTTTGAGACAAACTAGGTATGGAGTTTTAAAAAAAGATGCACACAATACATCATAAAATTATTTCTGTACCAGGAAAATCTTACATTTAAAATTCTCATAATGTGGTGTCAGATTACTTATTTATGTTTAAAACATAATAATTTTTTTAAATAAAAACAAAAATTAAATTTTTTTTTTAATTCATAAGAATAAAATTTATCTATAAGGAAAATGTCAAAGAACACCATTATTATTATTATTTTAATATTATTATTAAATCTCTACACATTTTCTGCAAATTGTTTTTACTTAGTATTAAGTTAATGCATTATTATTAGAAGGTTCAAAAAATGTATCGTGTATTATACAACAATTGAGTAATGTATTTTTTTCACTCGAGTTAATTATTTCTAACAAGACGTTTATTTGTTTTTATTAGTAGTGTCAATTTCCCAGAAGTAAATGCAATAATATTACATTATAACTAGTTAAATAGTAAAACATAATAATACCGAAAATGTTGTTGTGTAAACGGCATAATGTGTAACGTGTATTTTTAAGTAATACACTACATATCTGTGGAGTATCATTTTATATAACTCATGTTTGTAAACTGTTTGATATTCTTTACTATTAATAGTAGTATTACTATTAATGATAAGGATATGACACAATGTCAACGAGGTATAACACGCTGGATAATCGGTTTTTAATGGTTAAATAATCTTATTTGCTGTGATGTTTTAAAAAAATAACAATTTTTTTTGTAATTTATTACACTATTAAGCCATTTGAAAATGTTATGTTACTCCTTTTTTTGTCAACTCAATTATACCACTAGTACTAGTTATTTAAAAAAAGTGTACAGATTTTTTAAATACATAAATACACAAGTATTTAAAAAAAAGTGTTTCGTATGAGTCAGCTTTAAAATCAATATTAGATATTCATACATATGAATAGCCCTAGGTGGTTAAAACAAACCAGAGGACTGTGTGAAATATTGTACTTGTGCGGATCCGCGTGTGTACACAAGTAAGGAGTGTAAAACGCGCAGAGAAGAGGAAAAGAAAGTAAAACATATTATTATATTATGTTATCAAATAATACGTTTCGTACGACAGCGCATTGTTTTCGACCGTGTTGTTGTTATACATGTTTATTTTTTATCACATCTTATCGCAAGCGTGTAATAATTACTGCGGTATAAATGGTACGCATTTATTGACTTTCGCTCATTGGATTTACATGTTAAGAGTGAAACAAATAGGAATTAACGTGTAGTGGTATGCTGCACGTGCTGACCGCCTCACAATTAAACGATCCACACTTGCCGTGTGTAATAATTAGAAATTTACTTTCAATCTCGTGTAAATGCGCTCGTAAATTTCGATCATCGCTAGTCTTCTTCTCCGGGTTCGATGTGTCCCATTAAAAAACGCATTCAAGGACGTCGTGCACATTAACCCCTCTAGTATTGTAATGCTTCCGTACATTTGAATTTTAGGTATTTTACTTTTTTTTTTCACTTTGATTTTATTTTCATTAGTTCCATTCTATACGTGTTCTTGTACCTAACGCGGTCGTTGTACTTTAGATCATCGACGTGGGTAAATTAACACCGAGCAACAAATTTAAAAATCAATAATTGTATTTTAATTTGTGTTTACGTCATCTTGTTAATAACTCGTGAAAAAAATTCACACGAATCACCGATTAATTGTGTTGATTTTTGAATGGAACGCGTATTGTGGCTAGAAAATAATTACATAGTACAGCGTATTAATCTGGAAAAAAAACCGAAATCAATCAATCGAAATGGGATGTATAAGTTATTTATCTCGATAACAGATATTTTTTTCATCAGTTTAATTACTTTTTATGAGCTTGCATAACTCCTAACGGTTGCCCAAGGTTTGGATGAGCATATTATAGAAAAATTAAGCGTATCATTGTCTAGAGTAGAATTACTGTAAAAAAGAATACATGCACTTCTAATCGTAATTAGACACGATGTCTCTGCGTAACAAACATTTTCGGTTTAAGAGGAATCTCGTGTTTGCTCAAAGTTGGTGTGTAATCGATGAAACCGTTGCGCTCAGAAGCAGAGAAAGCAAGTCGCCCTGGGGTCATCGTTGACTTGCAGTTAACCCGTCGGCACATCCGATAGTGTCCTCGTGTAGGAAAATATATTAGCTACACGGGTAGTAAACGATCCATGTCGCAGTAACCGTCTAGTTTGTTGTTTGCGCGACCACAAAAAACCCGAAAAATCGTTTGCACTTATAAATAATTACCCGTTCTTAGTTTAGTTTCGGCGTTATTTTATTCTCGCCGAAAGTTCCCATCGCATTAAAAAAACCATTCAGCTCGGCTAATATAGCGGTACAACGACATTATCGGCGATGGATACGACGACAAACGAGGATGCGATGAATGTTTTACAGATTGGGGGAAAACGTTTTTTTATCGACGTTTTTCTTGCCGTTCCACGCGAGTATGTTAAACAGGTTTCACCCATACCGCGTTTACTCGCGGTTTCCATAGATAGCACTCTCACCCAGCCGTGCAATGTCAATGTCGGTAACCCGAAGCCGACCGGTTGTTTAGTACATTATACCGCTGTCTGAGTATACTTTCCATTTCGATATACATGTACGTATCATTGAATTCCGCGATACGCCTTCCGAGCTACTGGACAAGTTCGCAAAACACGACTTCTACAGATAATTGTATACAAACAGATTTCCCGTCTTTGCCAGACGAGTGTACACCTGTGTGTTTAATACTCGACTAAACCATGAAAATATTTTACTGTTGCTTTTAGATAATTGAATGCATCGAGTGAAAACAAATTACAGACTACACAGAGTTTTAATGATTCCAATGAAAAAGTAACAAATTGTAACATCAATTATTCGCCTCCAGAAGAAAGCAAACTCATGTTTTAATAACTCTGTTGATCTTAAACACTATTGTGTTGGTTGCGGAGAAAATAATGTAAATGTTTTCTATTAAAATGTTTGTTGCTCGTTAAATAGTTATTTTTACTTTGTATTCAATAGCAAACTTCAATCGCCCGTTCTCGACAGACAGCTAATTAAGTAATATTTTAACATAAATTATTTTGTCAGTAAATTCATTTAAAAATTACAAGTTATGGCCTTCGTGATATCATTTTTTTATTGAACGGACGGACATAAATGTGACTTGAATTTGACCCGGGAAAACGTAATATACATTAGCCCACGGGCTTCATTTTGCTATGTATTTGATCTTGCAGACAGAGATTATAACGTTGGCCGAGTTAATTTGACCGTCCATTGGGAAAACTTTCAGTTTTCCGATCGTGTAAATAATACTTATTTGATTCAATATTTCAACGGTATACAGTAGCACTTCCGATGTCGAAAAAGAAAATATTTAATTAAAAAAAAAAAAAACTGAAAACATCCCAGAAAATTAATCATCAAACTTTAAAGACTACAAGGACGCTTTTATGAAATCTCTGCATTCCAAATGAACCCCCTAAAAGATAATTTGAACTTTTCGCCGAGAATCAGTTTTTCCGGTCTAATTAAAAGCGTTCCTTCGTATGGTTTGGCGTATGTCATGCATATTTTCGTCACGCCGGCGGCCATATGTGATTTAAAAACATGTCGAGAAAATGGCGTTTTAATTTCGTCCAGTCGATAAAAAAAATCAACTCTGTCGTAATTGTTTTTAAACGACACTGGTAGTGCGACATGCACATACCGCACACAATGTACAATAAACGGCATCACCCGAAGCGGTTACATAATATGAAAATTATGAAGGGCTGTTGTCCACTCGTTTGACCGTTGACGTAGCCAAACGATGCATTCGGATGGCCGAGGAATTAACGCGTGACTGCGCATAAAATTCATAACGGCCGACAAATGGGACGAAATAAGCGTTTGTGAGTCTCCGGGGACGGGCCTAGGGTCGTTCGGGCGTCCCTTGGATAACTAAAGAGTTGTCCGTGCAATAAATAGCGACACTAGCACACATACACGCAAGAGTAGTTTATTTCCTACCGCTGACTGTAATAAACTTGAGTTTTTTTTTCCACTAAGAAATAAAAAAGCGACTGCATGCGATGACACGATTTATGCGCGTCTTTGCCCCGAGGACATGGACGCGAGAAAGGCGAATTTATATAAGCACACGACGAGTCGCCTAATTCAAAAAGGTAAAAAAGCAGACAGGATGGTTTGTTTGTAAAAATATGCGAAAAACAATAACCGTTGATGGCGCGGCAGGGACGAGCGAATAATGTCATCATAAATCCCTCGAACCGAGTTTTTTTTTTTTTTTATATGCTTTTTGTCGTTTAAATTAAAGT